CTTCCTCTGATCTAAGCAAATATGTCTGCTTTTAGGCTTTCTTGTTTGGCCCTCAGCTCAGCTGGTAGACTGTTGCTGCTTGTTCTCTCAGAGAACTCGTGCACCAGTCTGTCTGCCTCTGCTTGAGGGTCGTAGTGCGTTCGTCTCGGGGCTGAGCGGCTGGTAGCTCGCCTGACCCGTTGCCACATCTCTGAGAGGGTGGTTTGGTGATCGAAGGACTCACACCATTCCAGCCACGTCTCCTGCCTGACTCTGTTGGCAGTTTCCTTGGCATCCCTGACAGCCTCCCTCAGCAGTGCGAGGTTGTCGGGGGTTCTTTGCCTTCGGAAGAGTTTTCGGCACATGTTCACCCTGTGGTTGACCTCCCTGATCTCGTCGTTAAAGTACCAGGCGTCCTTGTGACACCTGGACCCGGGCCGAGTTTTGGGCATGGTCAGTGAGGCTGCTTGGTTTATGGCTTCTACCAGATTTGGTCGTGGGATTTCGGTTGGGCCTGCGTCCATGAGTGTGGTTACCATGCCGTAATGGTCGCTTGTGACAGTCTCATCGACACACCAGCTAATCCTGCCCACCAGAGTCGCAGTGACCAGGGTGAGGTCTAGTACCCCACCGCCGACATGCGTTGGCTCTTGGGTGTTGAGGAAAGCGATCTCGGGGAACGTCTCAAGTACGTTGGCTATGTGATGGCCAGCCGCATCCGGTCCCCGGCAGGGAGCCAGGATGGGATGATGTGCATTGAAGTCTCCCCCAATAATCACTCGGTCTTGTGCAGCAGACGCACAGCGCTGGCTGATATCTAAGCTACTACAGCCTGGCCGGTTGTACATGTACAGTTTGAGGGGCCCCCCGGCTAGGTCGATCTCTACGGCCAAAGATTCTGTCTCGTCTCCACAGTGCGGTGCATCGGCTATTGCGGAGCAGGGGATTGTTGCTTTGACAAGGGTGATCAGGCCTCTTTTGCCTGGAGTTTGTGGCAGCATGAACACTTGATACACTGAGAAGTGAACAGTGTCCACCGTTTGTATCTCCTGTAGGTGCCCCAGTTACCCAGATCAAGGGTAGTGGTTGGGGCACCTTTCATTGTTATCAGGACTTGCCTGGTTGGAGTCTTCCCTACTGCCATTCGGGAAGCCTCCACGACCTGAGGATGTGAAGTGATTAGCTCCACATCGTACGAGACTGAGAAGCCAAGTAGCACCATCTTGGTTCTCTTCTCTTCGGGAGTCAATGGGGAAAGACTCACTTTTCTCCCATCTTTCAATTCCCTGGTTTCCCGAAGGAAGTTCAGGGTGTCATGATCTTTCGGCACTATGATCATGCCTTGGTCTCTGGCAACCCAGATTGAGAGCCGGATTTGCCTCTGCATCTCCAATGCTCTAACCAACTGGTAGGCATTGTCGAAGCCTTCGGGTTTGGCTGGGACCTTGAACTGAGTGAAGCGACTGTTGCTGGGTCCAGACTCTCCATCAGAGTCTGTCTCCGGCCTTGGTCACTTCGGTGCGCCCTTTCGGCTGGGGGGCTTGTTCGTGGGGGCAGCAGCTGCTGGTTTGGCTGGTCCAGCCTGTGCTCCCATCCCTGTCGGGGAGGCCTTCTGAGGGGGACTCAGGGGCCTCCCTGGCTTGGTTGCTGGTCTGGAGAGACCAGCACGAGAGTCCATCTCTTTTACAATCTGATGGAGATTGGGCTGAAGCCACGTTTGGCTCCATGGTATCTGCCGTGGTCTGGGCCTTGCATGGGTGGTCAGCTTTACGATCAGTCAGTGGGGGGTTTTGATTTATTTTTTCCATATATTTGGCGGTGCTTCATCCTCTCACGCCCCCACCCACCACGGAGTCTAACAAGGGGAAGCTGTGTGTCAGAGCCAGTGTCTGGCAGCCACAAGGGTGATGAGAGGATTTACACAGCCAATAACCATTGTGGCGGCGCTCACGGACCATGGTGAGTGCCAATGGAGGCATGACTGCTTGACCCTAGCCTTCCATCGGAGACCAGCCGATTGACCGTGACCGGGCCGGTATCAGGCCGCCTGTCTTGCTGGAATAGAGGACCAAAGAGGCATGTTGCTAGCCGCAGGGCGTACTCATTCACGGCATCGCTTAGACTCTAGGACTCCCGTTTCCACAGCGCACAAGGCTGCCATGCACAGCAAACACGTGGGTAGGTGTAAACCCCTGGGGATGCCCTTCCACCTACAAGACATCATTGTTTGGAACCCTTCTGCTCATCCCTCTGAAGCAGCCAACCAAAGGTTGCTTCACCTAAGTGAGGGATGGAGTTCTTGCACTTTTCCCAGGAGGCTCCTTTCTTCCCTCTGGAACAACCACCCAAAGGTTGTTTCACCACAGTGAGGGAGAAGAGGCCCTGTACCTTTTCAAAGTGATTCCCTCTTCCCTTTGAAACAGCCAAAGGTTGCTTCTCCTCAGTGAGGGATGGAGCTCTTGCACTTTTAATAGGAGATTTCTCTCTTTCCTCTGAAACAGCCACCCAAAGGTTGTTTCAC